ATTGAAGTTAATTTTTTATATTTTGGATATTCCGCAGGCCAAACCAAAGTTGTGCTAATTCTGTGTTTTTTTGCAATATAATTAAAAAATATTACGCATTATATTATAACTATATCATATTTTTATATTTTAATCATTTGTTATATGGAATATAATATTTAAATACATGTGTTTAAAATTATATTAAAAAGGGCACAGAATAAGAAGGATTTCAAGACAAAATTAATTATATTATTTTAATATACCATATTATTCCAACAATTTTGTGAACATCACTGCATTAAGCTTTTTAGTGTAAGAATCAAATTAAATTAGACTCTAAAAAGGCCCTATTACAAAGCCGTATATTATGTGAAAGTTTCATATTCATTTTAATTTTGCTTAAGTACATATTACATATAAGCTTAAATTTTTAATCTCTTTAAATATAAAATAATTGTTATAAATAATATAATATAATAAACATATCAATTTTTCTTCAAGTTTTAACATTATTAATTTCATTTAATCAAAATGTTATGCAGTGCAATTTATTGATACACCCACATAGTTTTTTTTTTATTAAATAAATATACATAAAATATACATATACTTATAAATATATATAAATTACCAGAAACAACACTATAAGTAGGTCAATACATGCTGAAACTAGCAAACAGTCCATATAGAATAATTCTCTTAATTAAGTTTGTTGTCAATTAAGAATTAAATCTCACTTCACTTCATTAACGCATGTAAATACTGTTGAACTGAGCATACAGATATGTATATATGTATATATAAATATGTATGCGTATAAAGTGGCCTTTAGACATCAACGCGCGTTGACAAACACACGAAGTCTTCTCTCTCCATTACACATTAAATTTACCAACAATTTTTTAAACACGCCTCCAGCAAACAATGCAAAATTTGTTCACTCATCAGTATTAAAGCAATCGCTGAAGTGTCGACAGCGGCTGCTATGCGTAATTTCCTTACGAAAAATAATGTTTTACATTTAATTTATAATTTTAATTTATATATTTATATTTATTTTTATGATTTCAATTTATATATTTATTTTTATATATATTATATTTTATATAATTTAATTTTTTTTTTTGGTATTTTTTAATAACAAATTTTCCGTAGGTGCACAATGCAATTAATATTTAAAACAAAATTTTTATTGTAATTTAATGTTTGGTTATTTTTTTTTAGCCCAAGGTTATTAATATTTTAATTCTTCTTAATAAAATGTTTTGGAAATTAAAAAATTTTACCTAGGTAGAAAATACAAATATTTAAAATTAAAGATACAATTCATTCATATTTGCAAAGCATCGCATGCTAACGACAAATCATGCGTGCATTTAAACGATGTTTACGCTTCCATTTCTCAAAATAAATTAAATTTTGCATGCCGACCAAATCCGACTGTATATGCAAAAACACGAGCGTGGTTGAAGAAATATCAAAATTTTTTGATTTTCGTCAACACATTTCTTAAAATTTCAAATGTTACTATTACACAAACAAATTTCGCATTTCACAAAGTAGGAGAAAAGTAGGAGAAAAAATTCTCATGTGAGAGCGATTTTTTAGTATATTTGTTGTTTTATCTGGGGCGTGTTTAAAAAATTTTTAAAAAATTGTTTGTGTAATGGCAAGCGCGCGTTGACAACGAACGTTGCTGTCTAATGGGCCCTTAATACATCGTATTGCAAATTTGTTGGTTTTCTTTGCGTTTGACTATTTCAAGTTGTAAGCATACATACTAAGAGCAGCAAACATTTGCTTGAGCATCACTGAAAGTTGCGATAAAGAAAAAAAAATAACAAATTCACCTCGAATACACATGTTGCCCAGCAGAAGTTAGGACGAAACATTAAACAATAACACTCAAAAGGTAAAACAATATTGAGAGCGGAAGTATTGGGAAAAACCTCACCTTAACAAAAGATAATAGAAACTATAACATAATGGGCTTTTAGGTCTAAGAGAGGTGTAGAAATCTCTCCTTACAAAATAATCTAAAGATAATAGAAACTATAACATAATAGGCTTTTTAGCCTAAGTGATTCCTTAGGATCACTGGTATAATCTAAAATAATAAAAACAAATTCTAAATAACAACTAACTTTAAAATCGACAACTATACAATAGAAATAGTAGTACTAATAAAACTTGACGAACAAAAAGTAGAGTGTTTTTAAAAACAGCTCTTTAAAGTTACACTGATGAAAATATCAGTGTACATACATATATCTGCATATATGAAACATAGACATTTATATAAATCATTTTTCCTTTGGGACAACCTCTAACTGTTATTATAAATAATTTATGAAAGTCAGAAAAGTCTTAACAAAGGATTTTTTCTAGTGTATTCCTCATTATTTCCACAATCCTCTAAGTTATTAAAATTCCTTTAGTGAAAGTTAAAAAAATTTTATAAAAATAATTTTTAATGATTAAATATTCGAACTACCCATTTTTGAATGAAATCTTTATATGAACATTTTCAATGCTGAAATTATCGATCCATTAGAATCCAATTTTTCTGTAATGACCCTGTGTCGAGAAATTTCAAATGTAAAAAAATATGTTGAAAAAATCAAAACATTAACAGTCTCTCATAGAGTAGAAAAACTAAAATTTTTTTCTTTTTTTTTTTTAAATATATAATTAATTTGTACATTAAAAACAATCAACCAATTTTTTATTTTAAATTTCTTATTCAGCAATAAAAACAAACATAATGGTTTCACATAATGTATTATTAAGCATTTGTTAAATCAGAGCAGATGTTGTCTATGAAATCTGTTACTGATGTAGAGAATGTCTGGTGGGGTGTTATTTTGTACTCCCGTTACTAATATTAGTTTCCCCATTACTTTTCATTTATTATTTAAATTTATGCTTAACGTATGAGAATAAAGTTAAATATGAGAAAAGAGTAATGCGTTTAATGAGTAAACGCAGTCTTGTTTTGCTAATAACCCAAGCGGGGAGTTGATCGGTTTATTGTAATTTTATTTAATTGTGAAATTTTTGTCAAGATTAATCAAGTTTAGTGACTTGTTGTTGTGTATTTTAATAATATGTTTTTTATAAATATTTTGCAAATATATAATATAATAAAAAAAAATTATTATTAAGTCTATAAATTAATTACAAAGTTATTTTAAGAACATAGACATTAGTGTCTGATTGTTTCTAATATACGATATTTCCACCTCTCCAATTAATTTTGTTTACTAATTAATGAACAAATCGATGTGAAAAAAATTATTTTAATTAATAATATTTGTGTTGAAATAATAATTAGCATATGTTCATCAATTTTATAATATCAACGTTATTTTTCAAACGTGTAAATTTCGGAAAAATTTTTTTATTTAAATAACTGTTGCGGAATTGCTCCACAATAATTGTTATATTCAATTTTTATCACACCGGTAAGTATTAAACAGTGTAATATATGTATATTAAAAGTATTTAATATTTCATTAATATAGTTATATTTACATAATACAATTTCCAGATTGAAAAAAAAAGTGTTTATTCAAATAAAGACTTTCAAATATTTTTAATTATGATTGCATTATATAAAATGATAATTACGAATGGGTTCAGGTATATGATAAACACAGTAGAACTAGATGTGACATTTATAATAAAATTTTGTCTATAAAAATTTTAATACTAAAGCAAGCTCTCTCACCTTTCATCTGAGTATTGATAACAGAATTATGTGAAATATTAGTCCAGCTCCAGCTCCTTCGTTTTGTGCTCTCTTTGAAATGGGTATTGAATATCATTATTATATTATGCGGTACTTGGAAGTTTTTTTAGTATTAAATACTTCACTTGAAAAGGGTAGGTGAAATAAATTATTTTTCCGATTTTGTTTATATTTGCAATATTCTATTATTAACATCTTTATTATGTTCAATTTTCTTTCCCATACAAATCTAAATTAATTCATAACAATATATCTACAGTTGACGTTTAATTTAACGAAATACAATATATCTTATATAAATTATACGTTAAGTTAAAAAATTCATTAAATCAAGTTATCAGTTCAGTTTTTTGAGAATCACATTTTCAAAAATCTTAACGAATGAAGTAAAGATTCTTGGTTATCTCTACTGATTTTATATATGTATGCTTCCTATGTCAGCTTCCCGAGATGTTGCAATGTACATTATGATACTTTGTCCATTTTAATTTTTATGACACTAATATATATTTCCTTTTATATACATTTTGTTTCATGCAATCACTGATTATTCTATATAACGAAATTTATATCAAGTATATAGAACATTCAATGATAGAATTTCGTTTTTTTTTTTGTTAAATTGGTTAGTTAAACTGGATATTTGTTAAACTGGATATTTATTTTAACGAACATTTGTTGAATTGGTCATTAGTTGGATATTCGGTGTATTGAGCGATTATATTATACATATGCTATGTACTAAGCTAAGAGCTAGACAAATATGCAGTCCGTTGAAGATTAAGATATATGTTCTAAATATTAATTAATATTTTGATTTAAGTTAATATATGAATATATATGTTCCTTATTCCATTATTTATTTTTTCAAATTTTCTATTTTGTAACAAGATCTATTTCTAGTAATAGAAAATTTTTAAATTCCATTAAATTTAAAGCATTGCTAAATACCTTTTCAATAAATAAATAATACGTATCAAAGAGTATTTAAAATTAATAGTATGTCTTAAAAATGGAGTAGTTACTGACCGAAGTGTATCATTCAAAATTCTTTAAAAATTGGTCCATTTCCTACTAGAGAACTGTAGCACTTGTAACTGTAAGGTTGTAATTGAAGTAAGTAAAAGGATACTAAAAAATTGCAGATTCAAATTCAATTAACCAAATAACCACAAATTGATTATATTTGGTTTATGCTCAAAGTGTAACTACATAATAAGTAATTAAATTTATAATTGTAATTAAATAATTTAATTCATTATGACACACTTATAAATACAACAACTATTAACAAATTTCGCAACAGTAAGGGAAATCCATTTCTGGGCCGGAATCGATATTAGGCGATATTTCACAATCATCTGCCTTCTCGATTGGTTCACATCTATTACCAAAAATATTTCAATTATATTAATAATAACTTTAGTGAGAGTGTTCTTGTACTTACCTTGATATTGTGGCAAGTCCATCTGAATCCAAACAACTTACACTTGCACATTCATCTGCTGGATAGTAAATGTCATCAGGATCTAGTGGTATACCTTTGTAGACACATTGATCAGGGAAACCTTAAACAGAAATGTACTTAAATAATTTAGTATATAATACATTTTACATTTTCTAACTATCGTCTGCCAATGATTGATCTGTGTTCTCTGCGCCTACGGTTGTGATGGCAATTAATATTAATATAATTGTGGCCGAAATGAATACATTCATTATTGCGTCAAGCAGTTCTTATAGAGAACTAATAGTGTAAAATCCGGCTCATTCCAATTTATAGAAAACTTTAAAATGTAACATATGGTTTCCATTAAAAAAATATTATAGATAACAGCGCACAGTGTGCCAGAGCAGAAATTAGCCGATCACAATTTGAATTTTCTGAAGCTAGAGATATTGAAATAAAATTTTTCTTAAATATAGTTTTTAAGATGAACTCCTCCAATTTTGGAACCAATCGTGTTCTATTTTTATATATTTTTTATTTACATCGAAAACTATGGCAGATAAAAAGTTGAATATCTGCATTGTATATTATATATCAAACCAGAAGTTCTAAGAATATCGAATTTTGATCGGCTAAATAGCTTTAATTATTAAAGTTAATTGCCATAAACCGCAAATGTAATACATACATTAATTTAACTAAACCTACAAAAACTAATTAATTAATAAAATTTCAAACTAATGTACATTCAGCCTGATAGTAACAGATTTATTAGATTTTATTTTATTATTTTATTTTGGTGATAATTAAGGTCTAAGCATGTTTTAATTTATTATAAATAAAAATTGAATAAATTATAAAGCAACTAATAACAAATTGTTTCTCTGTCGCAACAATAAGGATATTCCAAATCCAATTCATAATCGCTCAATTGGCAATTCGGAGGAATGTCAACTGGATCACATCTATAAACAAAAATATTTATATGAGATATATTAATGATAACTTTAGTTTAAACCTTATTGCACTTACGATGTAAAGTAGGCAATTCCAGAAGTATCCATACATTCTATGGTTAAGCATTCATCACTTGGATAGTACATACTGTTTGGAGATATTAAAACACCTCTGTAAACGCATTGGCCCGGATAATCTTAAATGATTTACATAAAAGTAATAAATGTATACAATATAGTATCAAAGAATATAGTATATATTATATTTACTAACTTGGATGTCCCAAGGAGTCTACCCATTGATATGCGTATGTGGATGTGCTTGCAACTAATATTACTACAATTATCGAAATCAACAAATTCATTTTCATCATGGTCGTCAAACACTACTTACAAAAAACTGAAAATAAACAATATCGTCTCATTCTAATTTATAGCAAATTTTTTAATGTTACATATGGTTCCTAGGAAAAATAAAAAATTCATTCAAATAATGAAGTTGACAGTTTAATACGAACTTCATTAAAATAAATTAATTTCGAAATGAACTTATGGATGTTACAAAACTGGTTTAAATTAAATTTTACTCATTTCCGCCGATAAGTACTTTAATCTACTTTTCTAAGTAGAAACACAGAATTATAATTATTATATAATCGCATGGGCTTAGCCAGAAACGAAATTAAAGGGGGGTTTGATATACTGATATGGCAAAAACAGTTTTGTCTTTTAATGTGTATCCATTAGTTGATCCTATCAGCTTCCGCCCATATTCAAAGTATCACAGCACCATTTTAAAATCAATTATAGACTAATTATAAGAAAAGCACTTAATTTTTTGTTAAAAGTAGAACGACACATCAAAATACAGAGGGGAACCTAATCGTTCCTACCTATACACCTACGTCCAAGTATTGCCGTTTACATACGATTTAATGAATTTGTCTGCTTTTTTAAATAGAGTTTTAATTAAATATTTTTGATTTAAAAAACTTTTAAAAATATTTCAAGAAAACATGCATATTTGTGTGGAATGTGTATTACGTTTCTGTTAATATCAAATACTAACATTGAACCTACTTGACACTATGCCAGTTAACGTTCAATCATTACTCAACTCTCTTAAATAGCTACTCTATATCAGTTTTTGGTTTCAAGAAAATATTTATTAAATGTCTTACAACCTGAAAAGAAGCTAAAAAGAATCCTCTTGTGTTTTTATTAAAAACTTTTATTTTTTATTCGGGTGCGATACCCAGTAGTTGTTGGATATCGCAGCAGCTCTTAGCAAAAACTAAGTATCTATGTGCAAATAAGACTCCATACGAGGTCATAAGTTTCTTGAAAAAGCAATTCTGAAAATAAGTTTCTGATATTCACAATATATCTGTGGTACTGCAATAGGCGATTATTAGAGATCAAATGGGCTTTCTTGAATACAAGGGCGCCACGTTAACCTACTTACCTACCATCAAAAACGTGTGCGGTCTGGCATTCTTATGATAGCACATATGTTAAATAGGTCTCTGTTGGAAATTCCAATCGTTTTTTATTGATTGTTTCATTCGAACATCATTTTAAGTTACTCCAAGGAGCAGCTCATAATAAAAAATTCTCTTTTAATCCACTCTCAACATAACTTTCTTTGCCGTCATACAAAACTTTGAAGTCATATATGGAGGCTCATTGGTTTTTGACCATTGTGTTTGATATTCTCGTGATAAAAAAATGTGGGTACTCTTCAATATCAACCAATGTAATAAATAGCCAATTAAATATATGGATATTGTAGTTATTAATTTACATAATTAAAAAACTCATGAGAATTATACCTCAGAATTATACTTCAGGTATAACACTTGCATTGTAATAATTTTTCCTTATTTAGCTTGACGTCTTTCGAACAATGACATTTAGTTACATACAAAAACTTATGGATAAAAATATGACATTATCTATAGAAGAGACTTTGGTACACCGTAATCTTTAAAATCTTATGTGATATTTATATAAAAAGATTTCTGAGCTTACCCAAATATTTTGAGACTAATGTTTGACATAACAGTGATCAAGATCTCAGTAACAGTAATCATAAAGTAAGTGGATTTACTCTTTTGTTATTCACAGGAGATAAATTTAGCGGAAGTTTCACTCTGCATTTCACAAAATCTGCAGGTTTTGATGTTCTTGAGTTTGAAAATGTAATTATTAACAGTAACATATCCTGTTAAAAAGTCTGTAATTAATCTGAATGCAGATCCTTCTGACTTAGAAACCTGTTAACGTTTTTGTTAATGTTACGAACGAATTGACTTCAAAAATTCTATTTCAATCTATTTGGATTATCTTAACTCTTTAGAATCAATTCAGACCTTCTGAAACTGGGAGAGATAGTTACACTCCACTACAATTTGAAAGAGGGTTACTATTTATATGCCAGCTTAAATATAATTTTAAATGCTTATCAATTTTTATGTTCAATTTAAGAAAAAAGTGAAAATTGTGTCTATAAATCAAACTTTCATTTTTTTATTCTTTATTTTTTTTTTATACAAAATTATTTCGCAATTCCAACAAATGCCGACACAATAATGAAATGTCAAAATGCTACGCCCTTATAAATTTCTTTGTACTTTGGCGCTCAAATTGAAATTCAAATTATTTGCTCTGCTTATAACTTTGAGTAGCTCTTCAGATACAAAAAACAACAACAACTACAACAACAACAATGAACACAACATCATTGACTTTAATAACTTTTCGATGTCAATTGTTTGAACTTTTTCGTTTGTTGCCGAAAAGAAAAGTAATTTTCAACTGATTTTGTTGCCGTTTCATTGCTTGTTCCTACTTGAAATATTGCAGTTCATGGAAACTTTTTATTATTTGCATCGTTAAATTGTTGTTGCTGTTGTTGTTGTTGTTGCTGCTTTTGCTGGTGCTATCCTTACAGAACTTCTTGGTGTATCCAAAAGGATTCAAATGTTAACAATGTGTTTTCAGTTGTTTGGAAAAAGTTGAAGCATAAAAACATGAGAAGGAACATTAAAAATAATTCACATGTTCATAAAAATCATTCTATATATTGCCTAAATTAGGCTTATGGGTAGCTGAAATCTTTCTCGAAATGAATTTATTTTAAGTACTTGGTTGTATAAATTGATAATATTAAATAACGACACTTTATGCGTAAAACGAAATTAAATTACTGTGATAAAAAAGAAATTCTGAGTATATAACATTAAGTAAGTAAGGGGATAGGGGATATTGTTAAACTAAATATTCTTTTCCTCTTACGATGGTATTCATTAAGATCTGAAAATACCTTTATTAAAAATTTTATAATTAAATTAGTACGATTTTTTTCAGTATTTTAACTTATAAAATTATAAAATGCTTTTAGAAGCATTAAAATTTGAATCTTAAATTAATTTAAAATTTCTACTTCCAAGTTCTAAGCCTGGCACTTGCCGTCCAAAGAAATTATACACTGACTATAAATTATTTGAAAAATACGAATATTTCTAAGACCACTGATGATGAGTATATGGCAATACTCGAAACAGAGTTGTATGGTCAGTCAAATCTTCAATAAATTAACTAAAATTTTTGTTGCTGTCTTTTCATTTCTATTCGAACCCTTCTTGTCGTCACTTCGACAAAAGGTGAGATCTGAAAATAACACGGCAACTGTAGTTGTTGTCTATAAACAAACAATAAAAATCTAAATTTGTATTTGAATAACATAAATTAATTGTTTTAACATAAAGGTCCATGATTTAAATTTGTAAAATTCAATTTCTGATATTTGCAATCCAAAAAATTTGTATGAAAAATTTAATAAATAAAATTTTATGAATAGAGGTTGATGTAAGTAAATGTATCACTTTACTTTAAAGCCTGAAAAACAATCAGACAGTAAACTGAAAAGGTTGATGAAGACTAAACCTATGTGGACAATGAGAAAAGTTATTAATCCTAATTTTTGGTATTGCAAAAAAGGGGCACTGACTAATTCACCATTTAAAAATGTTTTAACACTCTATATATATAAAATAATATATAGCTATATTATAAGTAATTTGCTGATTATTTAAAAATCATAAAATATTTGAAAACATTGAAAATAACTGTCAAATCGCCTAACGAGTTTCTTTCTTTCAGTTGTCCTATACGTACATGTTTTATCCCAGCTCTTTCTTTTTTTCAAACAAATGTTAGTGTCATTAACTTTTTATCCTTTATCATATAACATATAGTACATACAGCAACACCATAAAAGTCCTACAAGGAACATAGAATCGTTACAAATAATTTATAATGAAC